GTAGATTCTCAGAACAAGTGAGCAATGAAAATGGGCTTCATCGCTCAGATAGTTAATATCTATGTTAGACGTTAAATTTAAGGTTTAACAACTTAGTTTGATGAACGAAATGAAATGAAACAACGAATTGAATAACCCTTACCACAAGAACTTTAGTGTATTTATTTAGTATTCATATTTGTAGCTATATACTCCCAAAACAAAAACATTAAATTTATTAAGTAGAGAAAAATAAGTTGGATAAAGTACAATTTGATGTCATGTTTCGATTTAATAGGAACCGTTCCGGATTTATTCCAATTATAATCTTTCTAAGCTATCATTTTTTATATTCATCAATATTAAAATGAAACTATATCTAAAAATTATCACAGATTTTATTATTCATTAAAACCAATTGGGAAACATATCCACTCACAAGTATCCACACTCACAAGCATACATTGTGTCCTTGGACATTCATGTACATGTTGTGTGTTTGTGCAGCAATTTTGTTGCACATTAAGATTTATTTTGTTGAAATTGACAAAAGAAAAGTTATGCAAAATAATAAACGAATGAATTAAAATCAAGCATAGAAATAACAATTGGAAAGCTAAATTTACGAAAACAATTCTGAACACACATGTACAGGTCAATACACTGACCCACTTTTTTTCAAAAAAGCAATCAATAAAAATAAATTCATTGCCCCCACAAAGAAATGAATAAATTAATGTTTTTGAAAACAATTCTCTGGTAAATAGCACGCAACAGCCAAGGTACGATGCACATACAAAGCAATATTTGTATGAACTTGCACTGTAAAAAATGAAAAAAAAAACTTCTGCATGGATGTACGCTATCGATAACAAGAATTCCATTTAAGGGGACCCCCCCCCCCATTCACGGTGTCAATTCGAATCTATTGATTTAATTCGAATCTACTCTAATTCTAGAATGTCTCTACAAAATTTCAAGTGAAAATCTCAAGAACTCTTAAAGATATAGCCGATTTATTGTGTTAGCATCAAGTGACGGCTAAAGGGCTTCTCAAACTTTAAACGCGTTTTTCTCAAAACGAATGGCGGGCACGATAACTCAAAAACTAATAATCCAATCGGTTTCAAATTTTGACACGTTTCTCTGGGAGTGTGTAGCTCTCGTATGAACTAGGATAAAGCTAATCGGTGAAGATCTTCCTTATTTTTTAACTTAGTTTGTGGTAAAAAATAGGCGATTTTCCATAAAAATTTTTTCAAAGTTCCGCCATTTTGTTAATTGTTGTGCGAAGTCAATAATCCTAGTTCATACGAGAGCCAGACATGTCCTCTTTCGGATTCCGATGTTCCAGTGAGGAGTTATCATGCCCGCCATCGAAAATATGGACTTTTCTTTGAACCCAAAAAACAACAACAACAAATTTTGGTAAATTATTTTTCTTCCTTTTTAAATCTTCAAATACATATGTGCCAAGTTACAAACCTTAACAAGCATTGTTATTCATTAACCACCCCATTAAAAATCTTAAAAATAAAAATCGTGAATGGGGGTGGGGGGGGTGTTCCCTTAAATGAAAAATTGAAGTAATAAATGAACATAAATTCGGAGAGAATTTTAAATCCAATATTACACTAATTGCAAATGTAGATGTAAATACATAAATATTAGAAGTGAATATGAATTCGATGCCACTTGTTAAATAGATTTTTACTCTATTGTTGTACTTTATTTGCATCCTGATAATTCCAAATTTTATTATTTTTATACTATTAACTAGCTGAACTCGTGACACCTAACTGTCCCTACTTAAGTGATTAACATAGGATACCTTACTATTTATATGCAGTTTTAATGTTGATGGTATTTGATGGTTTTTGAAAAGTTGATGCGATGTATATTTGCATTTCCACACATTTGATATCGAACTTTTATGATTTCATCACTTCGATGTTCTTTTTGGACGCAATTGGCAGCTATCTCTTTAAGGATTATTCAAACATGGAAAATTTTCAAAATATTTAAGATACTTAAATTCTTCGCGATCTCTTTATATTTACCTTTACATATAATCAAGATTAATTAAGTTTGAAAATATGAGGTATGATGTATAAAACAATTTTTCAAAATTTGCATGAAAATATATGTGGAAGCTCTATCTAAACCTGAACCGATTTCAGAAAAATTCGATCTCATCCCATTACACAGTGCAATATTTCATGTAAATCACCAATTTCAGTGCAACATTTGCATAAAAGTCGACGAAAAAAATTTATATGGGAACTATGTTTAAATGTGAACCGATTTCAACAAAACTTCGTTTATATCGGTCGGTATCTAATTCAGTATGGAAGTTATATCTAATTCTGAACCGATTTTTTTATAATACTTAGCACACGTCATTGTAGACTCAATTCAGTATGCTAAAAAAAATAAAATCGAATAAACATAGGCTCTTTGATGCACCGTTTACATCAATTTGGACGAACATATATATGGAAGATATATCTAAATCTGGACCCATTTAAAAAAAAACTTCGCATTCGTAAATCTTTACTTAATTTAGTATGCTTTACAAAGTTTTGTCTCAATCGGACAAACATTGGTAGTTTGGTGCACTATTTACACAAAATCGGACGAAAACTGAACTGAACTGATTGCAACAAAACTCCACGCACGTCAACCTGTAGTAATTTCAGTATCCTGTTTAAAATTTTGTTTCAATCCGACAAACGTTGGGAGTTTGGTGCACCATTTACATAAAATCGGACGAAACTATATATGAGATCTATATCTAAACCTGATCCGATTAAAAAAAAAACTTCGCATACATCAATCTGTACTTAATTTAGTACGCTGTACAAACATGAACATTGGAAGTTTGGTGCATTACTTACATAAAATCGAACGATAATATATAATACATAGGAGCTATAACTAAATCTAAACCGATATTTTGTTTCTATCTTCAAGTACCTAAAACGGATTATGCCACATTATGGAATAATAACAATTGGTCTGTTCCAGTACTTTTTTAATAGTAAATCTAGTAAAAGGGAAACATTTTAAAATTGCTCTCAGAGTACAAAATAATTTCAAAAGTTCGGGAACGCCAATCTAGTAAATATGCCAAAATTGGTTGGCAATACTTCAAAATCAACATAACAGCCAATCAGAAGTTGGCATTCCTGTTTACCATTTTTACTCGGCCAAATTTCTCGAGTAAAAAGTTTGCAAAGAGAACGCCATTTTTTTTGTGCTCTCTTAAATTTGATTCAATGTTTTACCAGTTTTGTGGGTTGAGGAACGGTTTTCGAGTTAAAAGTTGCAAAATATGAAAGATCCTTTTAGGTTCTGGAACGGAACTAATGTGATCATTTCCATTGCTGAAAACAATGGTAATCATCGCATTATTAGTATTCACGATGTTTTCTCTTATTTTCTACAGCACCCAAGCTGTCAAATTTGTCAAAATGTGTAGTCAGGATTTAGAGTTAAAAAACAAAACAGACATTTATATTTAAAACATATTACTACTTGGTACTTGAGTTTGGATTAAATGTGAACCTGCTTAATATCTTGGGATACCAGTAAATGAAGGTTTACAATCACGTGGAAAATTGTGTTAATATTTTCTATTGCAGAAATTTGACGTAAGCTTTATGTTTAATGGTTTCTCAAATATTTGTTCTATGAATTCGTTCATTTTTACCAAACCTATATCGATGCAATTTTGATAAGGCAAAGCAACGTGTGTGGGGTCAGCTAGTAAGTACTAAAATTATTACAAATTATTGGTCGTACTTTTATGTACTAGAATAATCTCAATTTCAAAATAACGCAAATATATATTTAAGCGCATACAGACCGACATTAGAAATTCGTACAACATTATAATGCTCTTTGCAAAGATACCAACTATCAACTATTATCAAAACTACTTCAAAAGTGGCGATTCTCCAATTTGATTGTAATATGTGGAGGTATGGTTATATAGGATCTATATTAAAACATGCACCTAGAGACCCCATTCCTTATTACAGTAGTTGTTTTGGTCTATAAAATATGTAGGCAAGTGGTTCGGTATTTAATGACCAAAATTTGGGTAAATACTCGAAATGGGTGTAGCTTTACATGGTGGCTACCAGAAAACGTAGACCTACGCCAACAAATTTTTGAATAGATATATTGCACACGTATACATGGACCCAGGGACTCCATTGTCTATACCAGTTTTGATATATAAAATATGTGAGTAAAACTTTGCCAGCCTACGTCAAGTCGATTGGCAGTAACGTATTTTTTACCCATGTGTTCAAAGTGTTATAAAACTATATAATGTACTAAATACCCAAAAAGATACCCACAAATAGGTATTTACCCAATTTACCAGGTACTTACACACTGCCCATCTCTAGGTATGCGCCAACATATCCAAAATTTCAACTCAATCGGGCAATCGTTGGTGCATAATTTGCATGAAATCTCCACATCATCAGATTCAATAAAAAAAAAATATTATGTTTATTTGCGCTATTACAAAAATCGATGTTTTCTCTATAAAGTACATGAAATATCAAATCGCCATCACCATCTCAAACTACGACATATACCCAGCTTCAATTCATACTAAATCCATATTTTTTATGGTAACCTGTGAAAAATCCCCTTTATATAAGATGTCTTTCAAAAATCAAATAATAAAGTTTTATAATATACAACTATAGATATGCAATGCATACGTCAAAAGGTAGTTTGAATTTCATAATTCATTAAATTCGGGCAAAATGGTTGTATATTCTTTACATAAATACATATATCACAAATTACAACATTGTTGTACAAACATCCCCCGGTTAGTGTAAATACTTTATGAAATAGTTGGGTGTGTGTGTGTGTGTTGTATATATGCATGTATATTAATATATTTGCATATATGCTTATTTCAGGAAATTAAACAATAATTAGGTTTATTAATAATTAATGCAACTGATTTTTTTTTTTGCTGCAATTTATTAACGATGCTCTTCTCCTCTCCCGTAGATTTGCAACGCGTCTGCTGTTTATTTGTGACTGATTTAAATGTTCCGGAAATTGTTGATTTTCGTGATAATGTCACACTTTCGTGCAGCTATGAAATGAGTGGCCATACATTAAATTCTGTCAAATGGTATAAGGACAAAATGGAATTTTTCAGGTAAGTTGGTGAGGGGAAATGCAATTAATCCGATAAGCGGCAAGAAAAATACTTGTATGCATGTGTTTTCAATAATAAACAATCGAGCAACTGACACATACATATGTAAATGTCCTTATTGTGTGTTTTGATTACAACCGCAGATATTCGCCGATGATGCATCCGGTCTATATAAAATTCCCTGTAACGGGCGTCCATTTGCCCGATGGCAAATACTATTGTAATGAGTCATCGTGCAAGGTGGAATTGAGTATGCTCAGTGCCAAGTCATCAGGCGTATACAAATGCGAAGTGTCGGGGGATGCGCCACATTTCCAGTTGGCTGCCAAAGAAGATAATATGACAGTGGCAGGTATGTACGCTGAAGGCCGACTCTCTTCAATACGACTGCATATCTGAGTTACGACGTGTATTTATTTTGTTGTTGTTATCATTATTTGCAGCACTACCACAGAGTGATCCACTAATAGAAAGCTTTAATCCCATGTACCGTATGGAAGATTTTCTAAGTGCCACATGTACCTCTGATTATTCTAGTGTACCGACACGGTTGACCTGGTACATTAATGGCGAACAGGTATGTGTGCATTACTGTTAGTTATACATAAATATATACATATGGAAAAAAGTACACAATGGTACTAGTTTAAAACTATGTAATGTGTACATAAATAACAAATCCATGATTTCTATGAACATCTCAAAGTATAATGAACGTTAAAACTATGTTTTAGTTCGTTTATTTACATTTTATTTAAGGTAATCAATATTGTATTGAAACTTTTGCATGTGTTTGCATGTTTTACGTTTTTCTTTCAGGCATCTCTTGGCGAACTACAACCTAATGTAGACACCAGTATATCCGCCCATGGTTATATCCTGAGACGTATAAAATTACAGGTTCATTTTTACTTGAGTGGTCCTCGATTCTTTCATGCCGGCAAAATACTAAATCTCAAATGTGTTGCGGAAATTGAAAATTTCCCTGAGCTAACGCGTGAAACATCTCTGAATGCGGTTCTCATTCCCTACGACAATTTAAATAATCAAATGTTAATTCATGCCGGATCAAGTGGTAAGTTTTTCTTTATTTTTGTACTTCTAATATTAAATGCAGTATTGATTAAATCATACTTAAGAAGAAGATTTAGGTTTATGAGATTGTCTAGAAAAGTTTACAAAAGTGAAACGATTGTAAATACAACACCAAAAATGAAGGGGATCTTTGTATGGGGGGCTATGTAAAAACATTGACATATATACAAAAATATCTTCAAAGAACCCTTAATATTAAATTAAATTACAATTGAGATCTAGGGTTAAAACAAAATGCAACTTTTTGATTAAAAGTACAAAATTTTAGATTTTTATTCCGACAAAAAAAATTTTTGACACTGAAAGGGTTAATATTAAATTAAATTACAGATCTGACAAAATGCAACTTTTTGAACATGACTGGACCTTTATATGGAGGTTATGTCAAAATATGACCCGATATTAAAAACATGGAGGTTTTTCAACTTCCAAGAACCCGATGTGTCAATACTAGTAACTATTTGCATATAAACAATGGAATTAGTAGAACAGGGCATGTAGTTACATTTTGGCAATTTGTTTTTGCTGAAATGACGTGTTTAGTCTACAAAACTATGTCCTAGGGTTAAATAAATAAATAGATAATAAAATTAGTTCTATAATATTCCAGATATCAACAACTTGTTGATCATTAGCCTTATTTATGTAACTTATTTTTAAAACGAATAAAATTTATTACACAACTGTATTCAATATATTTTTTTGTTTTCCTTTTTTATTCAACTTTCCCTCGCTCTATGTTAAAAAAAATCCAGCGACCATCAACAGTCCTGTGTCCGTGACCTACACATTGCTCACCGTAGTTGTGGCCACTGCGGTGATATTCTCAACAGTTTTCCGCTTCAGCAAGTTATGATCTACTGAAATTACGATGGCATTTATTTAAATCATAAATTATTAAATGTAAGCGGACAATGGAAGCTGTATTAGAAAAACCAAACTACGAATATAAGCAAATATAGGCGTTAAACGAGGATCTGTGAACAGTAGTCCCCACAGGAATAAAAGCACGAGGAAAAGTTTGCAGACGAAGTTACTATATCATATTAGTTAGTCTATAAAACAAAAGAAAAAGTAAAAAAAAACAACAAAACAACAAGAAGGTAAATTTAAAGAAAGAGAAAAATAACATCCTGTTCTTTTTTTTGTACTTATTCTTTGCATTGTTTTCATCATCATCATTATTTATTAAATACTATTTTTATATATATTATTCCTTTTGTATATATGTATATCATCGAATATTAAATAACACGAAATTACACATAACGACGACGAGAATGATGACGACGAAAGCAGTTCAAGGAATGACAGCAATGTGGAATGAATGCGTCCCATTTCATGTTTGTTTGTGCATGTGCTTGAATGTGGTGCGTACATGCCGAAACAAATGTGATGCTATCAGACAAATAATGGTCTCGATTACAATTCTCTTTAAGTAGATTAAAAGTGAAAATGAGTGCCGGAAAATGTTCAATGTTCAAATAAGTGCATTTCTGTAAAAGTCTACCACCCCAATTGATAAAACATTTCACATTTTTTAATATATATATATATATTTTTTTAAATTAAATCGATTGCTTGTGTGATGATATGTGAATGTATGTAAGTATTTCAATTATCCGATTTGTTGGATATTATTTATATATTTATATAAATGCATAAATTAATTTTTCCATATGAGATATTGGCTATATATTAATCCAATTAAAATGAGATGACCATGTGATGAGGCATGTGATGTTTAACTGCACTTAAAATATACAAGGTATATAAAGTAGTCTGGTAGACAAATGCTGACATAAACTTTAGTCCTTTATCCTATATATAGAAGTTTTACCATCCAAGTTCATTTTATTTATTAAAATTTCATATTTCGAAATTTGATATGATTATTCTAGTATGGAAAGTCCAGGTCGACTATATGATACCATACACCACTTTGTGTATATATAAGTAAAAATATAAGAATGAATGAAGGTTTAAAAATTCCGATGTAAACAAAAATGTGTGGTATATTTATATAGGCCCTATTACAAATAACATATATTGTAAACTTCTGACGACCAGAAACATTAAATTACTGTCAAAAATATTAATATTATATTCCTAATATTTTCACCAAAGGGTATGGACATTTATTAGCATTGACGTCTCCCACTCCATGAGGAACTATGTTATACTTTCGAGACTTCTGACGTAATGAATAATGGGTGATATATGGAACATACCTAAAAGTCGACCTATACTGACAATGCTACCAAGCGATAGTTGTAAGCCATAATGCACACGAAATACAAAATTAAGCAATTTTTAATGGGGATTTTACCTAAAAGGGTGCAATATGTGTATAAAATTCCCAAATACTGCAATTTACAGGCAAAGTTATATGTGGGATTGTACCTAAAATGTGATCAATATTAATTACATTGTGTATTAAATACTGAACAGTTGGAGCTATTATTATATCAGGTTCTATCCCTAATTGAGCACCGACATAACTCAATTTCGAGTTTTATCGGTTTTTTATATCGATATCGTCCGAAGGTAGTATGATTACAACAGAAAGCTAAATCGATTAATTCGTCTTAGAATTCCATACTTTGTAGGGTATAAACTGATTTAACTTATAATTTCGAGTAACTATGGTGGAATGCGGATATATGGAGGTAACCCCAAAAGGCGGATCAAATCAGTTAACTATTTTAATATAAAAAGTGAGTTATAAGAACCGAAAGTTAGAAATTACAGCCAATTCGGTTGAAAACGCGTTATATGGCGACTATCCCAAAAAATGGACCTATCTTTATAATTTTTAGTGGAAAGATAAGAACCCAATATACCAATCTTAATGGAAAATGCGCTTAAGAACCCCAAAATACCGGAAATTGCGAGGTACCCTTTTATGCGGGGCTAGGCCTAAACGTGGACCTATATAGCCCATCTTCGAACTTGACCTACCTTCAGACAACTCTATGCTAAATTTTGGCAATCCATTTTAATTCGTTACATCTTTTACATATTATCCAATATCACATGTGTCATTCTAGTATAAACAAAGTAGCCTCAGTAGCCTTGGTGTAATGTGAGGTCGGAGTTATGAACCCACGCATTCAAAGGTATACAGTGTGGTTATTGACTTCCTAGAGAATATAAAAAATCCAAATGCCATGATCGTATGTTACTATTTCAATGCAGTAAGTATGAGATAAAATATCTTAAATGTAGGGCTTTAACTTGTTTTTATTTATGTAGAACATTTTCTGGAAATTAGTTAAAATGTCCATATTTATACTAACGATAAAAGTGAAAGTAACGACATAATTTCAAAAATCATTATTTTTGTTTGTTTGTATACCATACAATTTATATTATATTTATTTAAACATTTTGTATTAATTTATTTATATTAGTTTTGAAATTATTTCTCGTTAGCATTCTCAATAAAATTTAAAGGATTTACTAATATTTCCTGTACTAAACCACATATGAATATCGACATGTGTATTTTTGCTCATAACATTGTAAAGGTTTTTTTTTATTCACATGTAGAACACAAGGACTAGTTCACATTGCATCGATTTCCTTTGACCTGCACACACACACAAAGGCACATACAGGTATGTGTATTTGTAATTAATATGAATTTAAGAAAATTACGAATATTTTTAGAATAAGTCTAAGATAGAATGATAAAGCAACAACAAAAAGCAAACAACAAAACCAATTTAGTGTTAATGAATTCAATTCTTATTTTTTGCCAAATATTTATAATAGTTTAAAAGAATATAAATATTATGTGTTTTAAACACTTTAATTGAAATAAATGACGACGACAAACAAACAAACACATACGTACGTACAGGTAAATATATATGTATATGTACAAATATGTATAACCATATTTTGTTATTATTTTATACAGAAATACAGTGGTTATCGGAAAGATAGAGCGGAGAATTATATTTTCAAAGCGTTTAGACTTTTCGCTATATGGTTATAATTTTGTTGTACTGAAATATTTGATTGATAACTGATCAAATATATTTTATAATTTGTCATCCAAATATAGCAACAATGATTATATAGATTTTATTATGTATGAATTTTAAAATGACTCCTGTTTGTTATGTTTTAAAATATTATCATTGAAATATTCTAAATCATTTCTGACAACTAAATCCTGTATTTTTTAAGCTTTAAACAAAATCAACAACAATATTTTTGAAAACCACTGTACGCCCGTAAGATACTATAAATTTGTCAATTTATTTAAGTTTAATTAATTTTCATTTTCGATAAAGATAGTCAGGGTAAAGTGTTTGCTAAAGTAAATAATTTTTGTGAACATTTATAATTGGATAAACATTTTCAACTTTATAAAGGAAAACAAATCAATATTTACAAATAATTTCATGTTAGATTTTATTTGGGTTCGAGAAAAACGGGTAATATAAATTGAAGGAATGTATAGAAACTCAGCATTTACAAAATTTTTTTATTTTTTCAATAGGGAACTAAATGGTTTTCAATTTCAAATTTTTTAATTTACTCTTTGTCCTGATGTTATATTCAAGTCATGTATGGCCATTTATGAAATTTTAAATTTTTAGTTATTTTTTTACAAACACTTTATATCGACCATATATTAATAAGTATGCACACGTACATATAAACTGTATACTTGCTGTTAAGCCTGAATAATAGAAAATTTATTGTTATAAGTTGATTGTAAATGCTACATAAAGAAATTCTGATGAACACAAATATTTGATACAATTTTAATGTTTAAGTGTTACAGTTAAGGTTCTCGCTTGGACTTGATGCACAGAAATTATTTAAAATAAATATAATATTATAATTTCTAATAATTCATTATAATTTAGTTTTGCTTACCTTAGGTGCAGAAGAGTGTCATGATAGAGCCACCTCTTTTGTATATTTTTTAGTAAAATAAATCATTCTTTTAAAAGGAAATTGAAATTATTTTTGGTTGACATTCTAACATAGGCATAATACATATAACAGCACCCGTTCTACGACATTTGGTCATTGTCCCTTCTCAAGTTCTCATTGAACATTAGGGAACGACCAATCAAACTTACTGGTGGTTGCACGTCGTGGTTGGAGTTGCCATCAAAAATCCCAAAGATGTTTTCATGTTGCGATATTGCTGAATCGTACACACACTGATCCCTTCTTGAATCTGGTCAACTCTAAAGACATTCATAATTGGACAAAAATAAAAACAATACTATAACTTATGGCATGTTATATTCATTACGTTATAGTATACCTATCTACATCTATCTATTGAAGGACATTTTTCCACTATTGTTATATTTTCCAAGGAAGACAAGCTTACCAAATGTCTTAAACGTTTCTGGATTTTCACTGCTGCGGTAGATTTCCTTTGTCATGAATATTTTTTTTTTTCAAAATAACTTACATTTTAAAATGGGGAAGAAATTGTGTAGCCAACGTTTGTCGATAGTAATTACTTCAGCCGTCTTATTGGCCAAACTTTGGAGCATCATATTTAATAATATAAAAATATTTGTGCTAGCGGGAAAATTTCGAATTTTTCTCATGAAATATGAAAGTATTTTTTCGAGATGTAAAAATACGCTGAGATCTTTCGCCAACTCTAATTTGTTTAATTATCATACGTTTATTTGCAATGTATCGGGTTGAATAATAAATTTTTTTATAAGTTTGCTCCAATATAAAAAAATCATCTTCGTTATTATAATTCTTCCAGAACGTACAATTTATAAAATATTTTTCACCCTCCCAGAACCCGCCAAATTACAGTGGCTTCGTTGAAAAATTGCTGCCAAGACCATAAAAGTACCG